GATATAAGACTGGTGTTCCGGCTAGAAGGTGATCATCCATTTTTTTCAGGAAAGGCGGGTAGATTGGGCTGTCCATGAATGCTTTGTGGAAGTCCATCGATGCCCAGTCTCAATGCAGTTAGCGTGGTGGACGAGCGAACGTGTGGCGGAGGGAGGAGGAAAAACAGCGTCCCCAGATATTATCAAAAAGAGAACAGCATACCAATCACTAGCTGAACTGTATCCGGGTGTTCAATCTGCCTTCCCCAAAGTACCCTTATCGCGCCAGGCTGTCTCTTAATAGTACTAAGGACATCTTCCCATATCTCTTTCTTCTCGCCCGCCGACAGATCGAGTCCTGTTTTAAATGGCAGGTAGACAACTTCAGTCGTTACATCCAGCATTGTGGAAGTTTCCTGCTAAACTTGATAGAAATGGTGGTAGGTATATTTAATAATAATGTGAGGAGGGCTGCTACGACGGGCGCTGTCTGCCGCATGTCGCCAAGTCGGATTAAATACGTAGCGCGCGTCACATGACCTTTGGTTCAGCTTACTTGTTTCCGAGGATCGAGCAAGTCAGCCCCATTACAACATCCGGCAGTTGTAACTGCTATATCCCAATTCAGATATCAGCATCACCACAATCTCATTTTGGCAAGTAAAAAAATCATATACTTTTGAGCAAAGCCGACACCCTTCTTGAACATTATCTTGCATTAGTAAAAACCACCTTGATGAGATTAGTTCGTCCCCAAGATCGCAGATCCCGTTTTCGCAGGCCTATGCGATGCACAGGTATACAACAGGGGTAGTATCCCCACTTACAGATTACTTACGTCGAGGTACCAGTGCGGGACTAAGGTCCGTCCCTACGTGCCGAGACACCCTATATACTGAGACAAATAAGAGGTACTTTAACTTTTAGTAACTGTAAAACCTATGCGTACATCGAGTATTATAATAGTATGATAAAAGTAATCTATTATAGCTAATTCTAAGTATCTATAACCTACTTTTCCCTAAAATTTATATTTAACTATATTATCGTCTCTAAGCCTAATTTATATAGCGCCTTCTTTCGCGGCCTAATAGACCTCCCTACTTATAGCGCTAGTATTAAGCCTTTATCATTCTAAATTTTTATAGAATAGCCTTACTTAGGCTCTAGAACCTCCCTCTTATACTAAAAAGTTATTATTAGCTCTATATGCGCTGCGGGGCGCGATTTTATGCACGGCCGCCGCGTCGATCGGTACCTCCAGCAGAAGCGAGTCACTAATCTTGGTTAATGGGAGGTGACCCCGCACGTCTCACGTTATACGTCTGCGGGTATTTTACTGTAAGATATGTAGCTGCGCAGATTGCGCAATTACTCGGAGCAAACTAAATCCGACTTGGGATTGGGAGCAATGTCAGGCAGGACTTCAAGGGTTCAGTGCTTGTTTGTTAGCCAACACGCTGCAGCCGCTCGACACAGCCATCGTACAACTTCGAGATACGGTCCAACGCCCAGCGATACGTACAACACGAAGACACTCTGTTCACGTTGCCCTCAAGCCCCGAAATCCGCCATTGTCCTCTCCGCTGCTTGCCAAACGAAAGACCTGGTCAAGCCCACTACGTCACTATCCCTTCTCGAGCCCACCAGCGCCGGTTCCTGGACTAAGCAGCAGCTAAAATCTAGTCGCGCCTCGTTGAATGGAATGCGATGAGGTAGGAGAGGTACAGGATAAGGTAGAATGCGGGCGGCCCTGGAAATCAAAGCCTACGCTTCGGCAAGTGGGTTGAGCGTCACTGGCGCAACGCCGACGTTGTAAGCGCACACGAAGGTGGAAAGGCCATGACGTTTTGGTGATACAGCTGTGGTACAGTCAAACGACCAGCGGCTTTTTACAGGAGCACTGCAATCTCTAGAGCCGTGGAGACATGCTCCAGTTTCAGCTCTGAGGGTCATTAGGAGTTTTGGATGGTTCATGTTAGTACTAGTAGAGCTGTGATGGTGGCTATGCTTTGTAGGATTCCACACTATCTAGAGCTGCATACTGTATTCTTCTCAGCCACACCTACAGACCATCGCCTCCAGCGCAAGCTCCGAGTCATAGCGGGTCGGCCATCCTCCCTGCTAGTGTTACCGGAGGAGTTCGGCAGAACTGGCGAATCCTTAGGCATATAGAATTTTCCAGAACTATCCGTCTTACAACCACTTGATCTAGAGCATAATTGAAGCTTTACTAGGGCGAAATCATAGGCTATATTTTGCAACGATTCCCGGCCCTCTATGAGGTAGAGAGAATAAAATATATAAGTTAGAATAGCAAGATACGATAAGGAGTCTTCTCGATGACCGTATTTTGCAACCCAAGTTAAAAGCAAAGGTGGAGTTCTAGTTTTAAAAATCGACACGATCTAACATCCATCACTGCAAGTCGAGATACACGCCACCTCGAAATACGAGGGGTACTTCAACTTCAACTTCAAGCAATCAATCGACAACCCAACAATCCAGTTATTGAATATGCTCGTCATTGCATTGGAAGTTTGTCAATAATAGGCCATTGAGAGATATCTCGGCTCGTTGGACAAGAGAGTCGATTTGAGTTTTGGATGTGCATGGCGAGGTCGCTGCTGTATCCGCTGCAAAAGCTGCTCGTGTTGTTGTATTAAAGTCTGCTGAAAATCGCGCTGCTGGGCAAGGAGCTGTCGGGTCAGCTCAAGCTGCTGCTGCTGCTGCTGAACCTGCAGAAGCACCTGGATCTGATTGATCTGCTGCTGTAGCTGCTGCGGTGTGATGTCCATCTTGAAGCTTGTGGTGTTGCTAGAATAGGGGGCCAGATACATCGCAGCCTGAAAAAGGGACCTCTCTGACCCCCCCGTCTCAGCGGGCCGAGCTAACAATACTTCAGGCGTGAACAGTGTACTGTGGACAAATTCGGGGTTGAAAGTTGGGATAAGGGTCGTCACTGAGCTGACCCTTCTCTAGCTGAGGTACATATAGATGCCCAAAGTACTTAGATACCCCAAGTGCCGAATTAGATTTGCCAGATGCCGGATCGGCTTTGCAGGAGTTTGACATTTGCTTGGTCTACTCGAGTTCAATCCTCTCGCTGCCTACGACTTCTACTTCATCCAGTTCTTCTGAGGCTGGACGACTTCGCCGGATTTCCCTGGTCGCTAAATGAAAGTGAACTTCTGAAGTGGCGGCCTTTTATCACCCAGCTCTCTCAGCTTTCCTCCCATAATCCCGCGCACGACTGCCGTGCCTACCACTTCGTGGTGTTGTCCTCCGTCCTGAGTAGCAGATCTGACGAGTAAGGGATGATACATATCGTTCAGCCAGATGAGCTTGTCATTTTGCTGAATACCTCGGACCCCAGGCGTTCCAATTCCCGGCAGGCCCCCTTTCGTGACAAAGAATGTGCAGTGCTTGCAATCATGTATCGCTGAGTTGCACAACCGCGTGACCAGGTCTTTACCAGCGTTGCCGATTTTCGTGACCTCGCCTGCGCGGCTTCGGAGACTGGTTAGCCCGTTTCGATTGGATGCGATAGTGGAAAGGAGATGCGAGATAGTGTCGACGCGGGTTGAATCAACCAATTCTAGCTGACCAACACCATCCCCAGATTCACTCTTTTCTCCTTTCGATCCGGCAGTCATCCGACTCAGAGAAACTACCGTCTCTCTTTCCACTTGATCCACTCTGTCAACTTCTTTATCCAGGGATGAGTGGAAGTCTTCGAAGTGAAGCTCCCACACGTCGTCGCCTCCCACTTTTCCAGTATGAATAGCTTCGGCCATTTGTAAGAGCAGCTCGATACCCAGGCTACTGCCATTCTCCCGCAATGTATCTATTGTTTTAGTGTACGTGATTGTTCCCGGGCCGTGATTTAGCGGCACATGGTTGTCTGTGAGAATCTCCTGAGACATTGGCGAGGGAAGCGAAGACTTCTGTGACGGGTTGTCTTTGTACGCCTTTATTTGCCGCACAAAGCTCTCGTAATCATATAGACTGGCTGCCACGAAGTCTCGAGAATCAACAAAGCTCTCCATGACGAAGTTGCGCAGGTTGGCCAGCTGATGCGCTACATTGGTCAACTGGGTGTAATGCGCCGAGAAATCTTCGAGTAGAGCTATAGCGTCTCCAGGGGGAACTCCTGCCAACATTTCATCCGTGGGCTGCTCGAGGTTGGCGCATGCCTGCAACGCTTTGTCGATGTGAGGCTGCATGATGGCCGTTACCAAGCGGGGAAATGCGACCCTTTCTGGGATGCATAGTGACCCAGATTCTCCAGTTGCGGCGTTTATCAACCATTCGGTTAGGGATTGCGTCGTATCGAGAGGTATTAAAACTGATAAATCTAGCTCTGGGTCGGGTTTAACCCTCGTGAATAGTTGATCGAGATGCCAGAGTTTGCTCATGAGCTCCCTCTCGTCCTCCTCGTCGATGTCAAAGACATGAGCAATCTCATCCAGCATGACGCCTTCGGCCGACATAATTTGTTGATGAATAGAACAGACTAACTCAAGTGGAGTATTGTGTGCATTCTTCTCATGCCGCATTTCTCGTTGTGGAGGCAGAGGAGTGAAGTCCCTAACCCAGCTAGGCAGTTCCGCGGAGAGCCGCTTTGGATAGGCCTTGAAGACATCGCCCCATCGATCCATGACAAGCATCCAAGCGGAGAGTCGCATGAAAAGCTCGCCTAACCCTGCCGTATAATCTGGCCGGAAGGCGTCCTGGAAAGCAGGCTCGAAGAACTCCCTAAGGCCGAATACAAGATCTCGCGGGTCGGTGCTAATTCGTCGGCGCGATCTATACTCCAACATGGGCAAAGAACGAAAGTTCATACTCAAGCTAGGACGGAAAACGATAAGAGTGACGACGTTGAGACGCTCGATAAAGTCCGAATATTCCATGCCCTCCACGAAGTCGTAGTCGGTCTCGCCAAAGAGCGGAGTCTGGAATTCAACACACCGGTGGAATAGCATCTTCAAGTCTCTTTTCAGCCAGTCATTCGAGGCTGAGTGTCGTTCGCAGTGCCATATTGGCGGTCTTGGTGCCACTGCAAACTCTTGAAAGACCCAGATCCGAGAGAACCATGGCCGCAGGGAGAAATCGACATATGCGCGCATCAGGTCGAGGATCGGGGTTCCAGAGCGTGCTGCAGCCTTGTCCAGGTCATCCAGTTCGTCGCCTGTAACATCTCGGTTAAGAAAAGAGAACAAGGGTTCCGCGTCTCCTTTTTCGCCCACGTATACGCGAACATTCTCGGCATGACGGTAGATATCGGCCATCATGGCGACCTGCCAACTTTTCTCGGCATCGTCTTGCTGATTGATGCAAAGGGCGTCTACCCACAGAAACAATGGCTTTTCTCGCGATCTGAGATTGTATAACGCAGAAAAGAGGTTCGGTCCAATATCGACAGCGTGGTCATTGACCTTGATAACCTTAGTGGGAGTTGGAGTACCCCAGACGTAAGACAGAGCATCATAAGACACTGCTTTGCAAAGATTGACCACAGCTAGAGAACAGTTGATATCATCGTCGATGCCAGGGAGAATTGTAAGAAGACGAATGTCCTGCCGATCCTTGTCGAGGACGAGAGGGATGTAGAGCGGCGCTACCACTGTCCCAGGCGAGCCGGTCAAGCAAGGGTGGATGGATTTGGCTACACCCTGTTGCTGCTGTCTATCGGGTGGCGGTTGACAGGCAATCTCGAGCAGTCGACAGATCAAAGCCGTAACGTGAGGCTGCATGTCATCTTCCGCCGACTCATCCTCCGGCCAGGATGGAAGCTGGTCCTTTGAAAAGCCTATTATCCCCTCTACAATTAGCTTTTGACACTCCTGTATCGAGGAGGACACTGCTGGTCTGAAAGGACGGTGTCGCCGTACCAGCGTGTCTGAAATGATCGAGGTAGCACGGTACAACGAGTGACTGAAGCAGCCGAAGACGCATCTTTAACAAACTGGCCACGAAATCCTCGTGTTCAGGCTTCTCGGCTGTGTTCCTTTTCATTCCAAACATGATGCAACACGTTTCCCAGAACTTGCTAGTGAAAAGAGATCCCCAGTCCGACGCGACACCCCGGGAAATCCCGAATTTCCACAAGACTTTCATGTCGATATGAAGGGTGGGCAAAGCCTTCGGCAGGGTTCAACAGTTAGTTTAGTTCCGCCCAGAGCAGAGCTGTTCCTCAAGTCTCGTCGTTGTTCAAGACCGGCCAATATCGTCTGAGCCCTTATTAATGGAGCAGAGCGTCGCAACCATAATCTATTTTTGTCGGCGAGAAAGGATCGCTCCAAGCGGAGACAAACGAGGGTTTTGCGACGCGACTCAAGCTTGTGATGTTTGCGCAGGCAGAGACGGTGTCTCAGCTGGTACGAGGAAATCCCTCATCGCGTTCCGCCAAGTACCACTATCGATTCTGCCTTCAGCCGCACTAACGCCACATGGCGTGGAGTACGCGCGCACATGATACAGCTAGACCGCGAGGTTACAGAAGAACCAGCTCCGACCTTGGCGAAGCCTCGCAGTTGAGATGGCGCCGCTAGGCTTATCCTGCGATAGCGTCTACGTTATCGGATTCCTTAGGGCTAGCTAAAGCATCGTGCGCATATTCATCTAAGGCACTCTATGCGCCGCTTGAGAACGGAAAGCTTGTCCCGGCAAGAGTAGTTACCCAGTTGGTTGCCTCTCAGGCCTCTGTCCCGGACTCGCTAATCCCTTCCACTCACAATTCCCCCTCTACTACGAAACAGTGAACTATAGCCGTCATGGCGAGCTATCTGCATAATGCAAGGAGTATCTCTCTGCGTAGTTCGATTGAGTTCGTCTTAATCGGTTAGCTTCGAATTTGTATGGAAAATACAACTCACCCTCAATGCTATCCCAGATTGGAAGATTCGCTTTATCGATCAAGTCTCTGGCCTGGCGCAGGGCAATACGAGTGACAGCTTTGAACAAATCCTCCCTTTTAAAGACTTGGGAGACGCAAAGCCATTGAATGAGTTCTTTTGAATAGGTTTAAGCAATTTCTCAATTTATTCTCTCAATTCACTGGCCAACAAATGGCTCCACCACTTCATGACACTGAAGATAATCTGTCAAGATGGCGATGCTCGTCAATGTCCTGAGGTCAACAGATGAAGGTAGCTGCCGGAATCGACCATGGATCATGTTCATGACGAGCAGCATTGCATCTAGTTCGAGTCCGTCCATCTTAATTTTGACGTGACCTTCGGACCGGAGGGTGTGGCCTTCTGTTAACGCGCCTCCAAGGCTACGTTTGAAGTATGACGAAGCTAACATCAAATGTTTGGAGGAAACCCGTATGCAAAACCGTTCTTCGTCTGTGTCAGGATCTGTAGGTGTTTCTTCCACCTGCGACTGTTCTAGTGCTGGTTCCAGTTCTGGTTCCGGCTGCGGCTCCGGCTCCATATTCCATGCGAATGCCGGTGAGTGCCCTTTCTTTTTTTCTTGCTTTCTTTTACTTCTGGTGAAGTATCTCGTCTATACTCCAAATTGGATGGCGAAGGAGTGATAGTGATGTCCCGGTCTGCCAGCAGTTCGACTTCTTGGCGTAGGAGCAACTCGACATCTCCGTCAGGATCGATGAGGTGCAAGGAGGCCATCGTTGCCACCACACCAAAGTGTTTTTAAATATCGCGTTGAGATTGAGAGAGGGCCTGAATTAAACTTCGTTGCGGATGCAATTTCGAGCGCAACGGCGTGGTCGCCAACGTGGCGGGCGCTAAGTGGTTCCCAGGACGCTGAGGGTGATGCAGTCGCAGCAAGGCTGAAAGCGGTCTAGATTCTGCTATGCCTTATTGATAAGGCCGAACTATGATGTCCCTGCGCAGAGCCTAGATCGATAGTAAGTTACCCGCGGAGTCATCTTGTATTAGCAGGGTTTAGTGGTTCGCTTCGGCTGGAGGTACTAATTGTTACACGGGGTAGAGTGCTGATACTTCTCTAAGCTCGATCTAGGTTAGAGCAAGCGAGATAGTGTAAAGAGCGCTATCAGATAGCCATTTAGTAATATAGTAGAGTAGTATGCTTAGTAAGATAAATAGTAATAAGTTTAATAATTTCTAATCTATATTAAATAGACTAATAAGTATTAACTAATCTTATAAATTTAAGTAACTAATAAGAAAGTATAATTTAAGTTAGCTATAAGAAGAGTATTGATAAAATCTAACTATCTATTCTTATATTCTTATTACTTCTAGTTCTACTATTTTATCTATTTAGTCTTAGTAAAATAGTTAAGATAGTATTACTATCTCTTTATATACTATTATTTTAAATAGTGTCATACGTATATACTATTCAGCTCCAGATACTGCTAATACAGTATACTGTACCTTTTGGGGCACGTGATGGCCTAGGTGGAGCTGAGCCAGGTATCGTCACAAATAGCTAGTCTTAATAAGATAGTATATTACGTAACTTTAAGCTTTATAATAATTCTTTGTCTTTTAATATAGACGTTCTTAGACCTTTAGCTATCTTATTATCTATTAAGAAGAGAATTCTTTTTATTAACTACTTATAATACTAATCCACTTAGCGACTAAGTATAAATTTGTCCGCAATAGCGCGCGTAAGGCTAGTGTGAGACGTTTCGGGGTTATCAGGCACGGGTAGAGTAAAACAATAACAGTCTGGAGTAAACGGTCTGTATTTCACGTAGACGAACAGCTACCGAGCTTAGGTAGTATTCTCCGTGCTTATATCTACTTTGGTAAGTCAGATATGACTAAGATAGGCTAACAAGGGCCAGATTGGCCCTAGATGGTGCAAGGTGGCCCAAGGAGGGTGAGCTCCTGACAGCTAGTAATAGCTTCTAAGTATTAAAGAGAGTTTCTAAGGCTTAGATAAGGTTCTTCTATAAATATAGAGTAATAAGGACTTAATATCAGTACTATAGAAAGGGAACTTAACTACGCTATAAAAGAAGGTGCAGAATAGATTAAGCTTAGAAATAATTGTTAGAAGCTAAGCCCTGTGCCACTGGGTCACAAAAACCAAAAAAGGTACGAGTAATCAGCGTTCTACTGATGCTCTGCACAGGATAGTATATATAGTCAGCGCAGCGCCTGACACCAGGACCCGCACGCTTCCGCTCGAAAAAGGGCCTACTCTTAGTCATGCTAGTATATACACATATATACGAATCGCCAGAAACCTCACTACCATTTCCTTCACGTAAGTATGGAGATTAGCCATCTCAATTCAGATCTTGTGTGCCTCTAATGTTTCTCCTTACCTTATTAGCTTCGTTCATGTCAGACTGCGTTCGGACCTATTCACAGGATGACGCGGGCTATCACCACCAGCATCATCCTAACCTCAAACACCGAACTCTGGGCGTCAGACGCGTCGTCTATTCTTTATTCAACGATTTTCCAACTTCTTTTCTTTGATTGTTCCATGTAGTTCATTGAGTCTTTTCTGTACGGCAGGCCCACTCGTTTCCTCACTTCAACCGCTATGTTGGATCAATCGCGTTCATACTGAGGCTTTCTCAAGCCCCAAAGCGGCTTATATCAGTATATGCCCTTCAGAGATACTCCCACTACCCGCTCACGCACTCGCATTGCACTCATAACGGGCGCCTGTATCATTGCTGCACTCTCGGTCTCCGCACTCTTTGTCCATCCCTTAGAGAAAGTAAGGCAATATGGGATATTCCAGTCCACCGATACATCCGACCAAGACAGCATACTAAGTATAGTCCACTATGTCCAAATCAAAAGGGACGAAAAATCTGTCTTCAAATTCCCCTTCTCCAGCTTCCTAAACATCTGCGCCGCAGTCCTATACATTAAACCCGAACGCGTCTACATCTGCACCAACTTCAGCCCCTCTGAGATCGACGAAGCCGGCCAAAAAGGCGACAGATGGACCAAAGCCGTCGTCAACGCCTTCGCCGACCTCGTGATCTGGAACCCCCTCTACACCCCCACCTTCGCCGGCACAAATGAAAACCAGCACATCAACGCCATCAAGAAAATAGGAAGCATCTACATGGACCGGGACCTCTTCCATTTACGCCCTCTAACACCCCTTCTGACAACAGGTTTCGCCTTCATGGGCGGCCGCCACTACGGCGGCGCCGGCGAACACAGCGGCATAAACAGCACAATCAACAACGGCGTCTTCATGACCAAACCCAACAGCACCATGGCCCGCATCGTCGTCCGCGAGCAACACGCCAGCTTCAACAGCAAATGGACCGCAAACCTCCAAAGCATAACCAGCATCACCTCGCGCCTCGTCCCCATCCCCCAACGAAATCTTGATCCTCGACCGTACCGCATTTGCGCCAACGCAACTGGTTCCCGGATAGTACCGATCCGCTGTTTGAGCCCAATGAAGATAAGCCTGCGTCGCCGGTGCACCGAGAAAACGCATTCTTCAGATGCAATGGAGATTTATGAAATTGCGATTCAGAATTGTAGGAGAACCGAGTGGGAAATGGATTTTTTCTTCGACGTGTATGTTGCATGCTTTTGTGCTGAATCGGTATTACAAGTATGTTAATCCGAAGACGATTTTGAGTCGCACGAGTAATTTTGGGGTTGCGACGTATGGTATTATTAGGCATATGGTGGATATGGGGTATGTGGGGGAGGGTGAGGAGGAGTAAGAAGGGGGTTTGGGGAAGAAGAAGGGTGGTTTTTTGCTTTGCATGGTTTAATGCATCTTGCATCTTCTACGCGTTGAACGATTCTTGTATCTTTTTGTATATATATATATACCCCCTTTTTTTCTTGGGTGGAGAGCTGTTTCTATATACCCTCGGCATAGATGCTGGGCTCGATGGAGACAAGTATAGAATTGAATGAAATATCAAGAAAGATACCTCATAAACAGTACTTCAGTGCACGAAATTTGTCTTCATCCATTGATATGTATATACAACCAGGTCGATAGGTGTTGGATAGACGTGAGGTATCTAATAGATCCGCTCACTAGCCGAACCTGAGAACATAGGGGGCTGCAATGTGGTAAGGATCAGCAGTCATATACTCCTCCTCTCCCGTTAACGAGTGTGGACAATTATTTTATGCAAGTCTCTGCATTTCGCATATGTGAAGTAAATATACACCTATCAAGAAATCCAATACATGAATCACAAATCGAGAAATCGCATGTTCAATCAAGGAATCCAATCGCGCAATCGCCATTGTGAACGAACGTTTTTTTTCTTCTCCGACGCAGATCCCTCGCCTAGCTCCATGCAATCGCTATCCAAATAGAACACCTTGCAGCAATGTATCACCAAAAACGCTTAATCATACACACAATCATAATTCCAGAATTACCAATCTTGACCTTCCAAACCATCATCTAACACTCTCCCTTAATTAACTCTTGTGACCTTGATTCCCCGTTCCAGGAGAACACCTTTCAGGTTCTTGGCAACTTGTTTCCTGCTTCTTGCCGTCTCCCTCAAAGTATCCATGTTCTCGTCGACGAGGTCTGACAAACGAGCAATATCTTTTCCGCCGGCTGCGGGACTTCCTTCAGGTGTGTAAAACAAGCCGTAGCCTTTCCCGGGAGTTGGCGTATTATCGACCTCGGGGGTAAGAGCGCGACGGTTCAACTCAGTCAGAGTGAGCTTTTTATGGCCCGTGGGAGGTGTAGCATATGGTGTGTCGGCGACACTGCGACGCAGACTGGTCCGGCCGGATTGTCGTGGTGTACCAGTGCGTGAAGAGGAAGACGATGGACGACTCGGTTCGGCAAGACCCAGCTTACGCATTTGCGCCTCGAGAACGAGAATGTCGTTGTTCTTCTGCTCCGCAAGATTGGCCAGTCTCAAGATTGTCTTCTTGACAGCTTCCATAGAAGGAACAGCTTTGGTGCTGCCAGCCTGGGCATTGTAAGTAGCAAGGCGAGAACGAAGGACAGCAACGGCATCTTCAGCCTTGCGCAGCGATGTGAGTAGCTGAGCGTAGTCATTGCGCAGACTCTTTTGTCCATCCGCAAGCTCCTTTGGCAAGGGTGCTTTGCGAAGCGCCTCGATTCTCTCAGGATCCTTGCGGTTGATGATCTGGCGACGAATATCGTTGAGACGAGTCATCAGCTTAGCCTTCTCGTGGAGGAGGCGAGCAAGCTGTGCTAGCTTATCGAGTACGTCCTGCACTCGACCGGCGTCAAGCTCCTGCTCCAAATCTTCCTCGAGAGACTTCAATGCTTGTATCTCACACAGTGTGAACTTCTCGAACCACGATCCATTATGTCCTTGGGACAAAATATCTTCCAGCATGCCTCGATCGACTTGGTGGTTAGGCTGAGGTTGCTGATGGTATAGAGTAAAGGCCTTGATCGACCTCATGTTCCAGCCCAAAGCGTCTACCATGCCATTGATGTCCTTATATATCATTTCGATCTGAGCAGCGTGACCAGACTTGTTAGGCGACTTACCGCCTGTGTAGTTCTGGTATGCTACGAATTCCTCAAGATGGCGACTTGGCTCGATAGGCTGCGCAAGCTGGGCACGCATTCTCTCATCCTCCTCGTCCTCCAGATCGGAAACCTGCGGCTGGGGTGTTGGGGGCTTGGATCCTTGGAGAGAAGAGCTAAGGGAAGCCCCAGGCGCGACCAGAGGCTCACGTCGGAAGCGAGAAGACGAGCTGGGACGCATTGGACTGGGCGAGCGAAGGTTTTGAGAGCGGTTGGTAGCGGAAGGTGGGTAAGGGGGCTTCGCAGATGCAGATGAGGAATTAGGTCTGCTACCAAAGGGAGCTTTGACAGATTGTTGTCCAAACAACGAATTACCTCCAAACGATGGCTGGGTTCCATTGGGCTTAGCGGGCTGTCCGAACAAAGAGTTCTGAGCCGGTGATGTGCTTCGGCCGGATTGCGAGGTACCTCCAGACTTCATGACAGGAGGAGTTGGCGCAGGGGGAAAGTAGCTTGATTGAGTACCAATCTTTGGCTGGTATGATTTTGAGGCGTTGTTTGGCGGATAGGTATCATCGGGTTCCTCATCATCGTCATCGTCCTGGTCATCCTCAGAGTAATCACTGTGGTTTTCTCCATTGCCAATTGGAGACGCCTCGACTGAAGAACTGGGAGCTTCCACTTCGACACCTGGACTACCCGCAAGCGGGGGCAAATCGTCACCATTTGACTGCGAGGGCATGGTGTTCATGAAATCAGGAGGGAGTGGTGCGTCATCGACCTTGGATGGCTTTGACTTGGTGAAGTCTGGTGGGAGAGGGGCATCGTCGAAAGGGGTAGCTGGCTCCTGTACAGGAGGTGCTGCTTTGGGGGTTGCGCTGTCTTTGGCAGGAGTGTCACTCGGGAACAACTTCTGCTTTGGTGGTGAGGCTGGTGTGGTGGAGACATATTGTGGGGGCTCGCTCGCGGGTGTAGCCGGGGGCTTGAGTCCCGTTGTCCCAAGCGTGTTAGCAAAGTCGCTTCCGAAGAACGAGCCATTCGCAGGCGCAGCTGGCTTTGCCGGATCGTCGGTAGCAGTGCCGTCGCTCTTGAAAGTTGTGCCGAGCTTGAAACCACCAGCAAGCCCAAACAAGCCTTGCGATGCTGGGGCTTGGGGTGTCGGTGTGACCTCGTCTCTCTTCCGCTGCGTGCCGTTTGGGTCACTCATGTCAGATGCCTTCGACTCAAACGAAGCTGTGTTGAAAGAAGACTTGCTTGGCTGTCCGAAGATCGAGCTGCTCTGTTGGGCGGGTGTGTTGCCCCAAGAAGGCAGCGACGATCCGGTTCCGGAACTTACAGTGACTGTTGAACCAAAGCTCGGCTCACTCTTGAGATTAGCAAAACCGGATTTTTGTTGGCCTTGTCCGAGTGATGCAAATCCGGAACTTGCTTGGGCAGAGCCAGTGCTACCAAAGCTGGAAAAGCTCGACGTACCCCCATTCTGTCCAAATTTGGCGAATCCGAACGAGTTTCCTCCACCCCCAGAGAAAGGGTTAGCCTTGGCCTCAGAACTTTGGGTAGGCGTCCCCCATAGGGATGACTTGTTGCCCATACTGCCCGCTGCACCAAATCCAGAGCCGCCAGCTGCACCAATCGCAGATGGTGCACCAAAGGCTGCTTTCCCAGCACCACCCACTGCAGTCGGTGCACCGAACGCAGGCTGTGGAGGTTTGCTCAACGTAGGCGTGGGTATGCTTGACGTCGAAGCTCCAAACCCAGGTGTGCCGAAGCCTGGTGGCGTAGGCCTCATCAGAGCAGGGGATGGGGAGTTGTGTCCAGCATTGCCAAAGTGTGGAATTCCAGGAGTTCCAGGAGTGTTTGCCGACTTGCCAAAAGGAGTGTGTGAAGGTGTGGAAGGTTGTCCAAATGGTGTTGTGGAAGTAGCGACAGGAAGTTTGGATGCAGGGGTATGAGCCCGGGGTGTAGTGGTTGGCTCCCGTTGTGTAGACTCGCTCTTGAAGATGAGACCCGGGTAGCGTTCGCCAGCTTCAATTGAGCGGTTCCACACCACCCACCAAGCTGTGAGAAGACCTTCATGGGTCAGAGCCATGTAAGCTGGCAATGGCCAAGGAGCTTCGTTGATTTCCTCCAGGCTCGGAATTGGACGCAAAATCTTCTCTTTGCTTGAAAGATCTAGCGCTTCACCAATGAAGACGCTGTCCAATTCATCTTCTCCGTATGCTGTACGTGGTACAGACGCCTTCTTGGTGTCGTCAACGTTGACCAACATAAGCTCCTTAAGGTTTTGTTGGTCGGGGGAGATCTTGTTACTTGTAGAAGCAAGTATGGCGATTGAATCGGCGTGCGAGGATGTGATAATCAGCATATCTTCGAGATCGGGCTTCCAGTTTCGTAGTCGCGTGGATGAGAAGCGGGCAGGAAGGGGTCGTCGCGGGGGTTCAAATGCCTCAGGAAGAGGATCCCAGGCGAAGGCATGGTATGTGAAGGATCCCCAGCCTTTCGCGGACTTGATAACACTGAATTTCTTAGGTTCTGGGTTCTCTGGATCTTGATCCCTGATTGAGTAGACCGCGAGAAACTCCTCCGTATTCAGCCATGTCACTCCCGTCACCTCGTAGCTCTCGTCTACATCCGGTGCGCGAGGAATGACACCCTTGAGTTCTCCATTGGTCATATTAATGGCGCAGGTACCGTCGGTTGAACCAGAGACTACAGCCTTTCCGCGCGTACTCCAGGCAGCACAGTTGACGTCAGTATCGCGAATCGTCTTTTTGGCACCATCCGTAACATTGCATATCTGGAGCTTGCCAGAATCCAGGACAATAGCGAAGAAATGCTCGAACTCGGGGGCTGGGTTTGGGAGAAGGGCGTGGACAGGCGCGTCTGTTTGCACCGTCTGTTCCGCATCTTTCCTACCTTTAATGACTTCGGCGACACTGAATATGGAAATGGAGGCTTGCTGTTCGGGAGCGACGACGAGGAAGTCTCCGTCGGCAGAGAAGGCAACGTGACGCAGATTCTCGGTGGAGATGGTGACATCAGGTGTGAAGTCTGACACGACGTCGATGTCGCGTTCCTCGAGTCGTGGATCGTCGGGCTTGTCAATGTCGTCGGCTATCGTCTTGCCCTCGAAGGCTTTGCGCACGGCGTCGGTAGATGCGATGACGAGGACATTGGGACCAGCGGCTGCAAGGAGACCAGGCTTGGAGGCGATGGAGAGGAGGTTGGCCGAGGCCG